TGATAGATAATGCTATTTAGCCATTGAAATGTGGATACCCATTCCTTTGTATTGCATATCATTTTATACTGGATATTCATTGATTATTGTCATGCATGTTACATATTATTATTATTAATTTGTTATAAATAAAATCTATTTTTATAATAAAATTGTGAATATTATTTATATGATATACTTCTCACTTAACACGATAAACGTTCTTTGGGATCTGAGAATTGAATTAGTGGGCAATTCTCAACTGTTTACTATTATTATCCCATAAATATCCCCACAATATATTCATTGAAGAAAGGTGCACTCACAGGGCTTCATCTGTTCATCACTGGGCACTTAGTACACATTCTTTTGATCCCCCCTAGAGCTGTCTTTGAGCTTGCGGTAAAGTAAATACCCACGGAGGATTTGTTTACGTTGCCTAGCAACGACACTTATGATACGCGTCATCACGCTTAGTCACGTGGTCGCACTGTTTCACTTCCGGGTTTCGGACGGTCGGGCGGGAGCTCGTTCCCACACACCTGTTGGGTAAGTGATTACTCCATTTACCTACCTATATATGCATGTTTATTTCACTGGTACATTGATCTTGAAAAAGACCCTTTAGGGGTTGAAACGTTGATTGAGGATTTGATTACACATGTAATGCACATCTAAGAATAAAACTACTTATGGATGAAGCCCTGTGAGTGCACCTTTCTTCAATGAATATATATATATATATATATATATATATATATATATGTGTGTGTGTGTTACATTAAAGCCCTTTCTGTCCTTTAAAAAAACGATATATAATATGTGTCGGTGCAATAAATTAGTAAAATGCAAATTGCAGTTGAACGCAAACAGCAAAAAATAAAAAATAAATGCTGTTGTCATTAAGTGAAAGACAAGCTTCTGAAGCTCTGTCCTTAAGGGGTTAAGTGTTCCCTTTATTTTTTTGAGCAGAGTATATATATATATATATACACTGTATTTAAAAACAGTTAACAAAAACAAATATTTTAAAACCTGTGAATTGGAAACAAA